CAGGAATGACCACTCGCAAATGTCTGGACTCACTACTAACAGATTAAAACCACTTTTAAAAGACAATCATATATTTTGGACTTGATTACTCAAGGATATAATATTAAAAGTGCCTTCACCCTGATTAAAAGGTATTGAATTTCCTCGATGTAGCTTCTGTGGTCTAATTTGTACGTTATAGATGGATGGATGGATGGATGGATAGATACATACATACGTACAGTCTTCCAGTCAGATAAATATCTGGGCTGTCAGAGATGGAATAGTTATTTCTGGGTTACGTATGCTGCAGAAATATAAAAAATAGATATAAATTTGAATGACTGTTCCTCTAATAGTATTTATATTCTGGGGCGAAGAGTGTTTTCCTCCCTTTAAAAGTAAAATTCAAAAAAAAAAAAAGTAAAATTCCAGGGAAGTTTATCTTGAAATATTTGCATAAATACCTATTTAATTTTGCAGCAAACATCAGAAGCTTATATTTCACTTCAAATTCAAGAGGTGGTGAATCGTCGTCCATGCATTTAGCAAATGCTGATGTTATTTGTTAACTCTGTGCCAAGCTCTGATTAGATTTTGGCTCAAAACAGCAGAGCCCCTGCCATCAGGGAGCTACCTCTACTGAGATCACTACATTCACTATTATTATTATTATTATTATTATTATTTAAGATTTTATTTATTCACGACAGAGAGAGAGAGAGAGAGAGAGAGAGAGAGAGAGGCAGAGACACAGGCAGAGGGAGAAGCAGGCTCCATGCAGGGAGCCCGACGTGGGACTCAATTCTGGGACCCCAGGGTCACGCCCTGGGCCAAAGGCAGATGCTCTACTGCTGAGCCACCCAGGGGTCCCGATCTATTGCTTTTTCTATTAAACAGAATTACTTTTATTGTGCTTGAGAACTCTAAATGTATTGCAAAGTATTGGTTTTTACAGTTGAGGCTTGAAACCTTGACAGAGTTGGCAAACATTTATTTAGGCTTTTTTTAATAATCAATAACAATTGCCAAAGCCATATCAATCATTGTGATTTGCATCCCTTATTAAGAAAATCACAGGGAGTACTTTAACCCTTCAGTCGTTTATTGATTTTAGTCTCTAGCTTGGAAATCTTTAGATCTTTTGTGGCACATCAAAAAAAGGAATTCCTGCTTAGGTCTAATTTCCACACAGTCCACTTCAGGTTGAAACCAGGTATTGTTCATCTTGTTTAAAAGAGGGGAATTTAAAAAAAAGGGGGGGGAATTTTTTTTATTGCTTCCAGTCATTTCTAATTATGACCCTGTTGGCTTGCTAGACATCTCAGCTATAACCTACGCACTTTTCTGTTTGATAAATGGCAAAGCTTGAATTCCCAGGCCAATCATATATATAAATTGCAGGTATACGTTCTATTTAGCTACCTTTCTACCTCTAATATTTTTATTACTTTGTGGAGAAATGAATTGGGCTAATATTGTTGACAATCCTCCTTGATTTTTTTGCTAGACTTTTAATCCATATATAGGAGTTGTTATGAGCTTAGCTGTACATCCTGGTAAAACCCTTCCATTTGGTGATGATTTTACAGGGCAACTAACATTGTTCCAGGAGTCAAGGTCAGTGGGAATGGTAACTTGACAGACCAGGGAGTCCAAGAATGTGTTGCAGATACTTCAAAAATTGTAATTTAAGTAACTTATATGGTGGGACCCCCCCCTGGGTGGCTCAGGGGTGGAGCACCTGCCTTGGGCTCAGGTTGTGATCCCAGGGTCCTGGGATTGAGTCCCGCATCGGGCTCCCTGCGTGGAGCCTGCTTCTCCCTCCGCCTGTGTCTCTGCCCCTTTCTCTGTGTCTCTCATGAATAAATAAAAAAAAAATTTTTTTTTAAAGAAGCTTATATATGGCTTTTGGAGAATCCAAATGTACTCCCACCCTCCGCACTATAAAAAACTAAAATATTTTTCTGTATGCAGATGATGTGACTCTTTTTTTCAGTTTTATTGAGGAAACAAGAGCATTATAAGATATTTAAAGGGTACAATGTGACGATTTGATATACGTATACTTTGTGAAAGGATTACTCCCACTGAGTTAATTAACATATTCATCACCTCACATATTTACCTTTTTTGTAATTTAGAGAACATTAAAGTTTTTTTTGAAGTTCTGTTTTTTTATTATTTATTTATTTATTTATTTATTTAATTTATTATTGGAGTTCAATTTGCAACATAGAGCAAAACACCCAGTGCTCATCCTGCCAAGTGCCCCCCTCAGTGCCCGTCACCCAGTCACCCCCACCCCCCGCCCACTTCCCTTTCCACACCAGGGTTAGGGGTCTCTCATGAAGTTCTCTGTTTTCTTAAAAAATATTTTATTTATTTATTTGAGAGAAAGAGCACAAACAGGGGGAGGGGCACCAGGAGATGGAGAAGCAGGCCCCCCGCTGAGCAGGGAGCCCAATGTGGGGCTTGACCCCAGGGTCATGACCTGAGCTGAAGGCAGGTGCCTAACCTACTGAGCCACCCAGGAGCCCCTAAAAAAATTCTTTTAAACTGATGTGTGACATATGTAATAAAAGTACACGATTTGTAAGGGTTTGGTTTGCTGAACATTCAGAAGGTGAATATACCCACGTAAGCCAGCATCCAGTCAGGAAAAAGAGTCCTACTGACCCGCCAGTCTGACTCCGAAATCAGTCGCTCTGCTAGTTTTTAAATAATAGTTTTAAGTAATGTTTGTGAGATTCATTCATGTCGATGCATTTATAGTTTATTTACAAACCTGTATGGTATTCCCTGGACAAACATACAACAGTTTCTTAGCCTCTCCTACAAGTTGATGGACATTTGGATCGTTCCCCGAGTTAGACCCTTACAGACGATGCTGCTAAAAGCGTTCTTGTCCATGTGTTTTGGCGCACATATCACACATTTTGTTGGTTATACGCGCTGGAGTGGAATTACTGTAGGAATGATTATGTTAAACTTTCGATCATGACAGTTTTCTAAAACGACCGTGAAAATCACACTTCCGTCGCCTGTGTGTGAGGGTTCCAGTTACTCTGCTTCCCTGGCAACACTTGGTATCGTCTGTTTTTTTTTTTTTTTTTTTTTTACTTTAGCTGTTGTGACACGTGCAGATTATTTTGTAAGGAAAACCTTGTCCCAGCCATCAGCGCGCCCTCAGTAGACCTCCAGGCCGGGCTGAGCTGTCTTCTACTCAGTCTTCTTTCCTTTCATGAGAACACCGCTCCAGGTTGATGGGTTATTGAAGCCCAAGTTTCTGTAGTTAGCAAGGAATTCAGAATAATCTGTACGCCTGGCAAATGCCGCTCAGTTCTTAACAGTAACTTTGCTAAATGAAAGAGCAGCTTATGAAGCGCATTAGTCAGTATTCAAATGCAAGTGCTTTTTCTTTTAAGATTTTATTTATTTATTCATTCATGAGAGACAGAGAGAGAGAGAGAGGCAGAGACACAGGCAGAAGGAGAAGCAGGCTCCACATGGGGAGCCCGACGCGGGACTCGATCCCGGGACCCCGGGGTCACGACCTGGGCCAAAGGTGGGCGCCACACCGCCGAGCCCCCCAGGGATCCCTGCAAGTGCTTTTAACGCCACCTCCCACCCCCTTCACACGCTCGCTTAAGTGAAAAAGGTGACTCGTTGATTCTTCTAGCCGAGAAGCGAAGCTTGGGGCTCCCGGGCTAAGCTTCACTTTCCACACCAAGGAAAGGGCTGCTCGGCAAAGCGTGTCCCTGCCTGGGAGCGAGGTTTCACCGGTGGCCCCAGCTCCCAGCCCTAACAGACACGGAGACAAACGGCCACCGTAACAACAGGCACCCAGAGAGCCTCCTGGCACAAGCCCCGGGACTGAGTCCTCGTGGCCCTGGCCGTACGTTGCTTGGCCCAGGGCTGGCCCCGCACCTCTGGGCCACCTGCTCTTAACAGAGTGCGGGTTCTTGGAGCAGCGTTGGGTGCTGCTGCCCGGGGGAGGGAGAACGGCTGGTGGCAGGCAACCGCGGCGGAACGTCCACTCCGAGTCAGAGGATCTGAAACCGGGTGTGCGTCTATGCCTTTAGCTGTGACAGCACTTGGCCGTGGACGGAGCAGCGGCGCAGAAAGTAGTGTGGTGGCTGCACCGTGCGGGCCCTGGGGCTCGCTCCTGGCGTCGCGCTTGGACAGTGTGTTAGCCCGCGTCTAGACGGCCCTGCAGAGGCGCTCACAGTGTTGCCGGGAGTCCTGAGGGCACTGCTCCCGCCATCCCGTCCAGCTGTGGGATCTCCTGGGAGACCATTCTCCGTGGTCTCTGGCCCAGGTACAGCTGAACTGTTTCTAAACAACCTTTGTGATCTTATCCTACGGTGTTTCTGAAACGGATAATGTTTCCTTCTTTGCATTGCTAGTAGGATAGAGTCAATTTTTTTTTTTAAGTGAGCTCAATGCCCACTGTGGGGCTGGAACTCACAACCCTAAGATCAAGAGTCGCCCGAGCCAAACAGGCGCCCCTAGAGTGAGAGTCAGTTTAATGGCTTGTTTTAATCAAGTCCAATAGGCCTCCAAGCCTAGCTTTTTTTTTTTTTTAGTGATGACCTCACTCCTTTATTTTTATATTTCCTTTAAAATGTGATTTCCCAGGGCAGCCCAGGGGGCTCAGCGGTTTAGCACCACCTTCAGCCCACGGTGTGATCCTGGAGACCCGGGATCGAGTCCCACGTCGGGCTCCTTGCATGGAGCCTGCTTCTCCCTCTGCCTGTGTCTCTGCCTCTCTCTGTGTCTCTCATGAATAAATAGATAAAATTAAAAACTAAATAAAAAATAAAATGTGATTTCCCAATTCTTTTCCCTTTTGATTCTGCTATTTAAGCTTCCTGAAGTCTTCTCTGAAACCAATTTGCGAAATAAGTAGAACTTAGGAAAATTTCGTTCCGTGCATTAAAACCATGACCACAAAATAAGTAAATCTGCTTGGCTTTGGCAAGAAGTGTGTTATTAACAGGACTTATTTTGGGTTCCAGTTTTAGACGAAAGGGTTGTGAAGCACTACAGAATCAGAAGACTGGACGAAGGGGAGTTTTTCCTTAGCCAGAAAAGAACGTTTCCAACGCTGAATGAGTTTGTGAGCCACTACACCAAGACAAGCGACGGCCTGTGTGTCCAGCTGGGGAAACCATGTTTAAAGGTGAAATGCTTTCAAGCTGTGTTCCTTTTGAAGTTAACTTCTTTCCTTCAGATACTGGAGTCATGAGATCTTTCTGTTCAGGGAAAAAAAGGTCATTCGGTCACCCGAGGCACAGATAGGCAAACTGTGGCCTACGAGCCGATACGGCCCCACACTTAATTTTTAAATCTTTAAATTTTAATTTTATTTATTGGAACATAAGCTTAATGCTCGTTCATTTACAAATTGTCTTTGATTTTTCTCTGTACAAGCAGAGTTTCACAGTTGCATCAGAAACCTCACGGCCCACAAAGAAACTGAAATATTTACTATCTCATCCTTTTCAGAAACAATTTGCCAAACTTTGCCCCAAGGCACTCACTAGAGACAGGGTTAGTCTGGTATCCTGCCCCTGGAGCACTAACTGAGACGGGTGGAGGGAGAAAAAAGTGCCCACAGATAATTCTCATGTAGATCTGTATTCAAGAATATTAATGTGAAATTATTAGACTCTACCTGGTTGAGTTGTATGCATAGAGGTACCACTTAACTACCTGTTCTAATCGTTTGACCAGGTCAAAAAACATTTATAGGATTTATCCACATCTATCATTATTCAGTTGTTGCTTGTTTTACCCAGACTTATTTAAAGTTAGGTGATGGCCTTACACTGTCGCGGGGCAAAACCTCAGCTCCTCATTAGGGTTCGGGCCTCCCATTCCCTGTGCTTTATGTCTGGATGATCAGCGAAGGGCTCCTGGTAACGTCTGACCAAAATTTTATGGAAAGTAGAAGCTGAAGAATTTTGTCCAGTATGTAGGGAATTCACTGACTTAAATCTTGCCGAGTGAGCCTGCAGTTTTGGTATGAGTATGTGCGTGTTGGGTGGTATGGGCATGACCCCACAAGAATATGTAAGCTCACGCTAAGAATAGCTTACCTGATGCAAAGATGTGGCTTAAAAAATACTCAGTTTAGCCAATATTGTTGAATTCTGGTGGGGGTGGGGAGCAAAGTGTTCACAAAGAAGCGTTCACCCTCTGTGTGCTCAACATGCTGATGATTTGGCGGAGGAGCTAAGATACTCTCTGACGGTAGATAGTGAACTAGACTATGAACTCTAGGAGGGCCGGGGTCTCGTTTTGTTTACAGAATGGCATCTTGCTGGTGTTTGAAAAACATGTACTCACTACATGAACAAGTACACGAATGAACGGACAAATGAATAAATGAATTTGAAACAAGATGAAAATTTTAAGTGTGCAAAAATATATGCTACATATGGTAAATGCTGTAGGCCAAAGGATTTGGGAAGTCATTGCGAAGGAGGTGGAACTTCAAATGGGCCTTAAAACTGGGAGGATTTAGCTAGGCAGAAAGACAGGAAAATCGTGCCAGGGCCGTGGGAGGGTGGCATTGGGTGTAGGGTGGGCCAGATGGACATCATTGCTTCCCATTTTAAAGCAATTAGAATAGAATGTACAAGGTTTTGGTTTTTAGAAATGGCATCTTTTTAAAAAGTGCCCAGGCTATTATTTTCAACCAAAAAAAATTGTCTTTTTTTCTTATAATTATTGTAATTATTCCGTGAAACAGATACAAGTGCCAGTGACTTTTGATTTGTCGTATAAAACCGCGGACCAGTGGGAGATAGACCGCAGCTCCGTGCAGCTCCTGAAGCGGTTGGGATCTGGCCAGTTTGGTGAAGTGTGGGAAGGCCTGTGGAACAACACCACTTCAGTAGCAGTAAAAACATTAAAACCAGGTATGAGGATGAGGATGTCAAGGGCTAAATGTCAGATGTTGATGTTTAGAAGCTCCCCTTGCCACGGTAAATGTCCAAGGGGTCGCAGGACAGTCAATGCCGCACCAAGCAGATGTTGCGGTCACTTTCTCTGGGCCAGGAGACAATAAAGCATAATATGCTTTATTTATTTATTTTTTAAAGATTTTATTTATTTATTCATGAGAGACACAGAGAGAGGCAGAGACATAGGCAGAGGGAGAAGGAGGCTCCCTGCGAGGAGACCGATGCGGGACTCGAATCGAGGACCATGGGATGATGACCTGAGCCAAAGGCCGATACTCAACCACGGAGCCACGCAGGCGTCCGCATAACATGCTTTAGATCGTAAGGGCAAGAGCATGAGCCTGCCATCAGCGAAGGCTTAAAATATCCCCAGTGTAAGATTTCCACCAAGCATCTCTTCTCTAGAGTTAGAATTATCCCTCTTCCCACTTTTTTCCTAGCCTTTGTTAAAAATACTGACTTTACTGAAAATACTTAAATCAATGGAACCTTGGAGATCTTCAGGGAGAAACAATTTTGTTAAGTACTAACTGTTTATGGCTGAAAGGTAAAATGGTCCACCTAAAAGCCCTCATGTTTGGAAATGTAGGAACGATTTTTTTCTTCCATCTTCCTTTTTCCTATCGTGGAAATTAAAAAGACGCTAAAATCATATTTATTCAGCTCGTCATTAGCCCTTCTAATTTAAAAGCAGGATAAGAAAATTTATTTATTTGTTTGTTTATTTATTTATTTATTTATTTATTTTAGGATAAGAAAATTTAGAAAAAATCAAGTAACTTTCCTAAGATTTACTAGTAATATGAGCTGGAACAAAGTTTTTTTTTTTTTTTTGGAACAAAGGTTTAAACTACTGTATGCCTCAGTTTTATCATTTGCAAAAAAGAGGGTAGAAACAAGGCCAACCTAACAGGATTATTATGAAGATTGAATCAGGTCATTAGTGCAAATGCTTTGAATAACGTCTGGTTCATAGTAAGTGACCAGGAAAAATTGTTCTTATTTTAATTATTCTTATTGCTGTTATTATTGTCGTAAGGTCGGTTGGTGGCAGAGCCGACATTTGAACTCCCATCCAGCACTGTGGCATCACCCCAGGGAAGTGACATTTTATGAAAGTGCAACACTACTGTGGTCGCCTCACATCTACGTCTGATAACACGGGCGGGAGTAATACCCAGAGGCTAGAATATAGTTCTCTTGGGGACCTTCACGCTTTCCCTAACCCAGAATTCCTAAGGTTTAGAAATTCTCCCAGTGGCAGGAAGCGAGCGTCCGGGTATCGCCGGGTAGCGGCTGGGGTAGCACCATGGTCCCCAAACTGTGTGCCGAGGCACGTCGGGGCTGCACGGGGAATTTACGGGGATGCCTCAGTATATTTAAAAGTTTTGGGGTCAACAGCTTGAATAGCACACAGTTCGGTATTAGATCATGTTACATTCCTTTTGCTGACGTCCTATCTTCGCGAAAATGGATTTTGGGTGCTGACTGACTGGGACCACATGCCAAGACCCACGCAAAAATCAGCCTGGAACAGGAGATGAGGGTGGCAACGTTCTATCTGTTTCCAAGACTTGAGAGATTGTCCTGGGCCCCGTAGATGCATGTATCTCTTAGTAATTCCAGTTAAGGATGAAATAAAAATTATTTTTTCTCTTGATTTATCTAGATTACCTTTTATTTATTTTTATTTTTTTTAAATTATTTATTTATTTATTTACAATAGTCATACAGAGAGAGAGAGGCAGAGACACAGGCAGAGGGAGAAGCAGGCTCCATGCACCGGGAGCCCGACATGGGATTCGATCCCGGGTCTCCAGGATCGCGCCCTGGGCCAAAGGCAGGCGCCAAACATCTGCACCACCCAGGGATCCCTAGATTACCTTTTAAAATGGATATTAAGTTGTTAGGACACAAGTACTTTTAAAGTAGCTTTGGTTTAACCAAGGAATCAATAGGACTGTTAGATGTTGGCTTAGGGGCATCATGGAGATAGTTACTGAGACAGCGAAGGGGCCCTGAAGTGAGAAGGTCTGGGCCCCTGTGGTGTCATAGTAGGGGCTAAGGGTCTGGCATAAGATAGACCTGAGTTCAGCCGTGGCTCTGGCCTCTGTGACATTGGACAATCTATTAATCTTTCGAATCTTGTCATCTGGAAGTGGGAATTATAGTAGTTCCTACTTCACAGGGTTCTGTGAGGACAAATTGAGTCAATGTGAGTTCTTTTATTTAATTATAAATTTATTTTTTATTGGTGTCCAATTTGCCAACATATAGCATAACACCCAGTGCTCATCCCGTCAAGTGCCCCCCTCAGTGCCCATCACCCCGTCCCCCCCTCCTCCCCTTCTACCATCCCTAGTTTGTTTCCCAGAGTTAGGAGTCTTTCTTGTTCTATCTCCCTTTCTGATATTTCCCACTCATTTTTTCTCCTTTCCCCTTTATTCCCTTTCACTATTTTTTATATTCCCCAAATGAGTGAGACCATATAATGTTTGTCCTTCTCCGATTGACTTATTTCACTCAGCATCATACCCTCCAGTTCCATCTACGTCAAAGACAACCTACAGAATGGGAGAATATACTTGCAAATGACGTATCAGATAAAGGGCTAGTTTCCAAGATCTATAAAGAACTTATTAAACTCAACAGCAAAGAAACGAACAATCCAATCATGAAATGGGCAGAAGACATGAAAAGAAATCTCCCAGAGGAAGACACAGACATGGCCAACATGCACATGAGGACATGCTCCTCATCACTGGCCATCAGGGAAATACAAATCAAAACCACCCTGAGATCCCACCTCACCCCAGTGAGAATGGGGAACATTAACAAGGCAGGAAACCACAAATGTTGGAGAGGATGCGGAGAAAGGGGGATCCTCCTGCACTGTGGGTGGGGATGTGACCTGGTGCAGCCACTCTGGAAAACTGTGTGGAGGTTCCTCAAAGAGTTAGAAATAGACCTGCCCTACGACCCAGCAATTGCACTGCTGGGGATTTACCCCAAAGATACAGATGCAGGGAAACACCAGGACACCTGCACCCCGATGTTTCTAGCAGCAATGTCCACAGTAGCCACACTGTGGAAGGAGCCTCGGTGTCCCTGACAGATGATGGATCAAGAAGCTGTGGTCTATGTATACAGTGGAATATTCCTCAGCCATCAGAAACGACAAATCCCCACCATTTGCTTCAATGTGAGCTCTCAGCACGTTGGCCTCAGCGGGGATGCCCACCGTCCTCCGGAGGGCGGGTTCGCTGGTGCAGGATTTCCGTCTCAGCATTCACACCTGCCTTGTAAAGTGACGGAGAAGCACTTTTGAGTGACCAGATGTCACGTGAAGCACTCCAGGCGAGGACGACCTATTCCAGCACCTGGGATCTTCTCGATCACTGCATACGTAGTATTTTGAATCCTAATCTTGTTCACAATTGAGCCTAAGTTTCATTTCCCAGATCCAATCCTTCTTTTCCAAAAACGAAGCAGCTAGCTATCCATCCTAACATTGTTCTCTAGGGAAGGCTTTCTGGAGGTCAAAAGAGAACAACAACAACAACAAAACATCACATTTCTTATATTAAAAAAAAAAAGCCACGATAGTTTTCTCTCCAACAGGAATAATTATTATTGATTTACAGTGCAATAGCAGCAAACAGCTTTGGTGATTGGTTTAATGTCTTCACTTCACTGGGGCCATTAATCAATCTTAGCAGCTATTTATTGCTTAGCAGACTACCACGCAATAAAGACGAGCCTGAAATCAACTCCCACAGTAGCTTTGACAGGCAAAAATTAATATTTAATGTTGCATTACTAGCTGGGTTGAAATTGGGTCTCTGCTGTGCGGCTGGTCAGCCGTAACCAGCGCGGCCAGGGAGTGCTCGGAGCAGCCGTCACCCGCAGAGGCTCCTGGTGTCCCGGGGCCTGGCTCTTGTGCATGGTCTGATTTGGCAATGATTCGAGTGTCCTGCATTTCATGAATCTGATGGCCACCGAAGCATTAGGGTAGAAACATTTGGTGTCTACACATTGCCTGAGTGGTGATCACAATTGCTGTTACCCCTGGAAGCTTCATGAGTCAGATTATTTTGAGGGCGGGGTGGGGAGACTCCCATGATAACCGTAGTCGGCCATAGGCCAAACTAATTGAAATAAGAAGAAAGTCCTTTATTATGTTTTAGGCGCCTCCTTTATTCTCAGCCCCCGTTTGCCACTGTGATTCAAAACTTTAATCCTATTTGATTATGTGGAGCAAACCCACGATAGAGATGGAATTGAGGAAGCACGGAAAATCATGATGGAAATGAGACTAGGTCATTTTTCTCTACTCTCCCTCTTTGAGTCCTTGCCCCTCCCCTCCACAGTCTGAGAAAATACTTTTAATTGATCCTTTTGGTTTTTCCTAGAGTTTGCATATTAATAATAATACAAATAACGGCCAATAGTCATTGAATGTATACATGCCCAGTATTGCTCTTTCCTGGTGATGATTTTGCAATATCGGTAGAGTTACTGGCCACGTTTTGCAGACGAAGAAATGGAAGTTCAGAGACCCTTGGTGACTTGCCGAAGGTCACACAGTGAGCTAGGATTTGGTCAGAATCTGGAATTTGACTAAGGCTGTGTTCTGGACGTCGATGCTCTCAAGGGAATACCAAAGGATAGACTGCCCAGACGCTTCATGTGCAATGATCTGCAAGTCACATGTGACTCTTCCTGACTTCATATTAATAAACAAGTTGGAGCGTTATCTCAGAATGTCAAAGCTTTTCCATGCCTGGGTTCAAATGTCAATCATGACGATATTTCATGAGAGACAGGTGAATGGAACAGTCTCTTTGAGCATCAGGGGAAATGCTATTTGCACTTTCCACAGCAAGTGCTGAGATGCGGAATGACAGCGTTCCTTCAGTTACAGGAATGTCTCGGAAACATCATATCCTAAAAAATAATGAAAGATTTTAAAAAATTACTGATGAAATGTAAACTCCGGGTGTCCTTCCTCCTCTCAGATTTTATTTGTTGTTAACTACTTGACGCTTTGCATGGTAAGAGCTGAGCCATTAAAATACAATTTAATTGTAAGTGAGCCTTCAAAATAGGTCCCAGGACTGTCTCCCTTATCATTGTGTTAAGCTACTAAGAGTCTGATCACAGATGCATTAATATAGGAGAAAAAGCTGAAGATCCATTTCAAGTTAGACATATAAGGCTGGGGGGAAAAACACTGAGTTTGGGGTAGCCCTCGAATGTTTTCTACGTGGTCCATGCCATCTATCCCTGTAGAAGTAAGGACATAAATATGGCAGACAGTCATGGCTTCAGGATGGTTATCCAGCTGTCCCCACAGTGGGGACCAAGGACACGGCAGCGATCAGTTCCCTGGATCCTGGGCCGGAAAGCTCTGGCCGCAGTAATTAAACATTCAGTGTCCTCCAGCCTTCATGGCAAGGGAATGTCTTCTCGTTGTGCTCTCAATTTGCTGGCCTTGTTTTATCAATTAGACTGTCAGTTCACTCCTTTCCCCCTCATTTTTCATATGGACCTGAAACAACCTCTCTTCACCTGCGGGTCATAACACATAAATTACACACCCTTGATGCACCCAACATCGGTTATTAGGTTGCCCGGGCCAGACGGAGTCTCTTCTTTGACAAATCTGAAGATTTGTGACACCAATGCTCTTCCTTTACTGAGAAGCAGGAAGCAATCTTGGTGATTCCCACCAGACTGCTGTGAGGATAGGAATGCCTCGATAACGTAAAGTGATTTCCTCCTTTTCTTGTTTCAGGTTCAATGGATCCAAATGACTTCCTGAGGGAGGCACAGATAATGAAGAACCTAAGACATCCAAAGCTTATCCAGCTTTATGCTGTTTGCACTTTAGAAGATCCAATTTATATTATTACGGAGTTGATGAGACATGGAAGTCTGCAAGAATATCTCCAAAGTAAGCTAAAGACTTAATAAAAGGAAAAAAAAAGAGGAATTTAGTTTAGCTAGTCCTATAAATGTCAATTTAGCAAGCCTTCTATAACCCAAAGGATATTTGCTGTGTGTGTATCTATGAGAATGAATGGCTTAGCATTGAGTGGCTCAACGACATTTTAATAGGATACACACCGTGTACCAAAAAGAGGGAAAATATTCATGTAGTGAAGAACAAATTGTTCACAGTAGGCATATTGGAGCACGAACCTGAAGAATGGATGTTTTTTTTACATGATGCTTTGTTTCTTACGATAACTAATGGAACATCAGTCACGAACCTGTTTATTCTATGGCCCAGAATTAGGGGACGTGGAATACTTTTGGGGAAAGAGAGGTACCCTCATTCTTTTCCCGTCGCCGGTGTTTGGCAGCCTCGTACTGGTTGGGGTTTAAAATACTTCCACTGCTAGGCAACATTAGAATTTTCAGACTGAAGAGCAGAAATACCCTATTGCTTTATTTCTGCATCTGCTTCCTGTAGTCAGAGAAGACTTAAGGGCACTGTGAAATTTTGATGTTTATTACAAATGAATAATTTAATACGCAAAAATATAATGAGTATTAAAATGAGATGTTCAAAGTAATGGAGATCAAGTACTGAGAGAATAATTCATGCTTAAAAAAGAGACTTTTTCCTATGCTTTCCCGAAATGTCAGAGTGGGATTGATAGAACGTGTATAGGTAAAGGGAGGTGAGAATAATAGAACAAAGATATTAGAAGGATAAGAGTATTCTCTGATTTCAGGGTGGCTTATGAGGCTGGTGGTATTAAATTGCAAAACTGGAGAAGAACAAAGAACATGGGCCTGTTAAGTGCTGTTAAAAAAATATTCCTAGCTCCTTTGCATAAAGGTATCGAATTTAACAGTGTCAGAATGTGTTAGCGACCAGAGAAAGACTAACCTCAGCCATCAGACCCCTTTTGCCTATTCCCAGGGACAAAAGTACTGTAGTCATCTTGAGTCATCTTTAACAAACAGGCTCGGTCAAGGTCACTCGTGCCACTCACGGTGGTAAATCTAAGCGTCAGTTCTCGGTCCTCAGACCTATTTGCAGCATTTATTTCAATGGACTTGAAGTGAATGGAAACACTTCCTTCATTTGGCCTCCAGGACACTTCACTCCATGGCTTTTCCTCCCGTCCTCTTTGTTGGCTCTTCTCCTACCTGTGTAATTTCTCTCATCTCTCGGACCTCTCAATACCTTGGAATTTTGCAACATCACTAGTTCCCTTCCGAACCTCGGTCTCAGGGTCAAACAACATTTATGTAACAAAGATTTCTCAAATTACATCCCTCCATTACTTCAGAATCATAAATCCAGCTCCCTTCTTGACCACTCTACTTGAAGGCTTCCCTGGACAGCACAGGTGTGATGCAGCAATACCCCCTTCCCCCAAATCCCAGAGGCACTTATTCCTCGCTCATGCTACGTGTGCAAAATAGATGTGTTGGTGGCTCAGGTGTTTTGATCACCTCGGCGGGGGAATGGGATGGGACCAATCTCGTTCTGGCTCTTAGAGCTCCAAACCAGGAGATGAGAGATGACTTCTGTGCCCTTTTTCATTTGGTCAAATCAAGTCAGGGGGAATAGGGAAGTACAATCCTCTAACATAGTTGAAGAGGAGAAAAAAAAATAAAGGTTTGTGAAGAGCCAGAATTTCTACTACATGTGTCCGTTGAAAATCTCAAAACCACGTGCCCAGAACTGATCTTCTATTATCCCCAGTAACCTGCTACCCCTGTGGTCTTTCCTTCTTTGACGATGTCAACACTCAGCCTAATGTCTTGGGTCGTCTCTACTTCTCGCAGCTTCCATCTAACCAATCAGCAAATCCAACTGACTTCTTTCAAAATATGCCGAGGACGTTGCCACCTCTCAGCACGCCCACGCTGGTCCAAGCCGTCATGAGCTCTCTCCTGCAGGTGCCGCTGCCTCCTAAGTGGTCTCCCTCCCTTGGTTCTTGCTCCTCCCAGTCTCTTCTCAATGCAGGAGTTGGAGAGATCCTGCTAAAATGTAAATCAGGCCGTGGCCCACCTCAGCCCAAAGCCTGAGTGACGCTGGTTCTCTCCGTACAAGGTCTCAGGTCCTGCATGGCCGGCTCTCCGTTGCCTCTCCGACCACATCTCCCCCAACGTCTCCCGCGTTCACTGTGTGTCCCTCCCTTTCCCGCTCTTCCTGTCTTCCACGTGTGCTTTGCTTCACGCCCTTTGCACTTGCTCCTCCCTCCCTCTGAACCTTCCTTCCATTAATATCCATGAGCTCACTTCCTCACTTCCCTGAAAAGTCTTTCCTCAGAGCTTCCTATTATGGTGAGTCCTTCACTGGTCACCCTCTGAATTCTAAAATTTAACCTCCTTCTTCTACCTCTTTGTAGCCTTCTTTCTTGCTTTTGTGTTTTCTTAGCTGTTGGTCATCTTATAATGTGGGACTTTGTTATGTGGCCTTATTGTAAGTATCCTCTAAAATACAACTCTTTGAAGACAGAGATTTTTCTTTGTTTTCATGATAGTACAGTGTCAGGCACATAGGAGGTGTGCACTAATTAATTACGTGTTGAGTGAATGAATGAAAAAACTAAAGGAGAAATTGAGTGGGGCTATTCTGAACCTAAAATGATCAGGATTCAGGGTTTGAGCCTGTTTTGAGACTCTTGGGTCAGCTTGATGGGATCCACTTAGGAATTATGGACTCCTTTGGCATTGAGGATTTTTGAGGTCTGTTGATGTTTTATTCATGGGCGAGCACATATCTTGTCCGATTCTGGGTTGGGCCTTTCAGGGTCAAGTTTACCAAGGCCTTCATTTGCCAAGAAACTTAGTAGCCACGAGGAATAATGAAGAGATGCTCGTTACGGACGATCCCTTCCCAATCAAGAGGGCTTACATTCAACTGAGTGATCTTAAGGTGAATCTGCCACTCTTAAACAGCCCTTCGCGTTAACTGTTGTACGGTGAAAGACTCTTGAGTAGTGGAACATAATTGAAAATATTTTCTTGTTGCAGATGTAAGTTGTCACAGGCCGGTGAACCTTTATATCAGTTTTGACAACTGGCTGTTGTATCAGAAGCGTGTTCTGAGGTTTACTTAGCCAGTTCCTAGGCCACTGCATTCTTTCATGGTAGGAAATGTGTTATTACTCAATTTTCTTCTCTATTGTGCCTGTCAGTGAAAACTTTTTATATCCACTGTAATAGGATTAGATGTCGTATTTGATAGTTGAGATGACATACGTATTTTTCTATAGAACCATCTTTGTAGTCCCTAAGCTTGGCTAAATATTTTTTTTTTGTAATAAATTTCTCCAAAATGGAAGAGGCTTGTCAAAAACTTTAGTATTGAGGGTAATGGATGTCAGGTATTTCTTACTGAAATTTAAAGAGAATAAATATCTGCCTTTTTTTTGCATTCATACATATTTTTAAAAATGAAAGTCAGCACGTTGTTCATCATTGTCCGTGAGCTTGGACATGATTGGTCATAAGTTCACACCTAAGTGGACTGAAGTAGGCCAGGAGTGTTTTCATCGAGATGCTCTTTAGCCAGCTCCAACTGTAGCCCCAAGATTCAGGTGCTCAGCAATCATGTGGGAGGCAAGTTTTAGGGAGGAGTGTAGCAATGTTTTTAAGAGCATGAGATTTCAATCTCAAACATGTCTGAACTTGAATCTCCGCTCCACACCTTCCTACCCATTCTTCTGAGAGGCAGAAACTCCTATGAAAGGGGCAAACAGTAACAATATTTACTTCATATAGTTCTGAGTATAACATGAGGCGATGTAGTGAAAATCAACCATATGGGATAGTGGCAGGAGAAGTGCTTGTATATTCAATTTTTTTCTTTAAAAAAAAAAACCCCACTGTATAGTATTTACCATGTGCCAGGCATTTTTCTTTCCTTTTAAAGATTTGTTTGTTTGTTTATTTATTATTTATTTGAGAGAGAGAGTGCGCCTGAGTGGGTGCAGGGGTGGGGGGAGAGGAACAGGAGAGAGGGAGGGAGTGAGGAGGGGGAGAAGCAGACTCCGCGCTGAGTGCAGAGCCAGAGGTGGGGCTCGATCCCACGACCCTGAGATCATAACTGACTGATTAAGGGTCGATTGCCTGCTTAACCACCCAGGTGCCCCTGCCAGGCCTTTGTACGAGTGTCGTACAAGTATTAACCAAGTTCATTCTTCTGACAACCTGGTGAAGTGAGAATGCTTATGGTCACCATCATTTCCAGCTCGTGGTGGAAGAAGCTGAGGGATCATCTTTTACTGAAAAAAAAATGGCATCCATAAAAAGACACATTATGTGGTATAATTGAGCATTAATTAAAAGTGAGCGAGTCGACAGCAGCACAGCCACTGAACAAATCAAGAATGAGAACCCCCGAGTGCCACCTCCTTGGCAGCTCCTCACCGTCCAGAGGGGCTTGGTTATTTTTTTCCCTTAACTTGCACGTTCCTCTCCCAGAGCCCCGTCGTCTTCCCTTCTTGACTGGGGTTTGGGAGTTGGCTTCTCCTCTTGCTGCCTCCGTGTCCTCAGCTCCTGTTCTGCCCTCAGCCTTTATCCCCCATCTCCAGTGACTTTGCTCTCCCTGCCACTAAGGTCACCAACGCCTCCCCAGTAGCATTTGGTAGGTGCCTTTCCGACCTTGTCTTGCTGGACTGTGGAATTGGACAGTGGTGGTGAAGTCACTTTCTCAAGACCTTTGTTGGGATGCTCCCTTCTGGTTTTCCTTCTACTCTTCCGGCTGAGTCTTCTCGGTTTTCTTGGAGGTTCATCTTCCTCTGTCCTCCCTAAATGTCCGTGTTTCTCATGATTCTATCGCTTCCTAAGAGTCTCACCTGCCTCTAATGGTTGAGTCCTACCCATAAGCTATGGTTGTTAGCTGCCCGCCCTCTCTTGGGCTCCAGAGCCATGTGCCTGTCTTCCTTTAGGCGTTTCCAGCTGGGCGATCCACATGCATCTCTACCTTAGCAATTCCTAAGCTGTTCAATTCTGTTTAGGCAGCAGCAGAGGTAATAAAAACAGGTAGGAGCTACTGAGTTCTTTCTAGGCGCCAGGCTCTGCTTCAAGTGCTTTACACGTACTGACTCATTTCACTTCTCATTCTAACAACTAATCCCAGACGGTAATTACAGCCGCCACGCTACAGGTGAACACACTGCGGCACAAGGGCGTCAAGCGCCTCGCCTGAGGTCAGGAAGAGGCAAAGCTCAGATCCAGACCCTGGCGCTCCAGCTTCAAGCCAGTTTTCTAACCCCCGAGCGATTGTTGCCTCTCACGTTAGAATTTGCGTCTGAGACCCTTGACCGTGAAATTCAACGCGCTTTTGGTAATATTTGCCTTATTGAGTCAGGGGTGATGATGGTTTGGATTTACATGAGACCTTTTCAATTCTCCAAAGATCTGAAAGCATCTACTAACAGGATAGCAGCTAAACGGTACCCAGGGACGGCTGACACCGCACAAAGCAGCGCAGAGGCACTTTGACCTCTCTACGAATGATCACACAGACTCTGCTGCTTGACTTTCCCACACGTAATTATATAGGATGCGTAGAGGTAGAAACTATGTCTATTAAAGGCATGATCATGCCTGGAGAGATGAGCAAACTATTTCTAAAAAATAACAGGCTTAAAAAGGGAAATAAAAAAAAAGTGTATCAAGCTTAATGGAGCACAGATATATGCGTTTTATAACTACCGATAGACCATTTTTGTCAGTGGGCTAGTTTTTAAGAACAATATGATAGGAAAAAAATGATGGAAGAATGAGAACTTTTCATCGGCTCAGCCATGCAAATTAGCATTATTTTATAGCTTCAAAGACTAAAACAAACTATGAAATGTTTGAAGGAGCTCTAGAGGCAACCACGCAAACTCTTCCGTGAAGCGAGGACTCAGCCATGTGTGCTATGGAAAACGGCCGTAGTTGGACTCTTTCAGATGTTGAGAGCTGGGTTCGAATCATGGGATACCGTTGTTTCTTTCTGTGTGTACGGGGAGAGAGGGCCACAGCCTCGGGGTATATTTGGACTCTGAAAATTGTTGCCTCATTAACCTGCCCAGGAAATGGATGGTCTGTATTCATTCTATTTCTTCACTCAACAGATCAGTGCTACGGCGCTTCATCCCCCTGGTAGATCATTCATCGCACTTCTCAGAACTGACTTCAATAATTCACATGTTCCCCAAGATAAATGTCTTACTTTCTCTTATTGCTCAGATGACGCCGGAGCAAAGATCCACCTGAACCAGCAGGTAGACATGGCCACACAGGTTGCCTGCGGGATGGCTTATCTGGAGTCCCAGAACTACATTCACAGGGACCTGGCTGCCAGGAATGTCCTGGTTGGGGAGCACAATATCTACAAAGTGGCAGATTTTGGACTGGCAAGAGTTTTTAAGGTGAATTTCGTTTTGTTTCAATTAGGTGTTGGCACGGGTCAGAAGCCTAACATACCAGCAGCAGACTCATGGTTTTACTGTTATTCTTCAACACAGGGTTTCCCCCAGTTCTGTGGTCCCACAGTTCAGTAGCCCAAGGCCTTATAGATAAGCCATCTCCTGTTTCTATTTCTGTTATTGTTGTTGTTTTCTTTTTTAAAATTTTATTTAAGTTCAATTAATGAGCACGTGATCCGTTATCGGTTTCAGAGGTAGAGGTCAGGGACTCATCAGTCTTCTATAACGCCCAGTGCTCATCACATCAGGTGCCCTCCTTCTTGCCATCACCCAGGTACCCCGCCCCCTGCTGTTTCCATGTCTTCACCAAGGAGAGAGAAACAGAGAGAACGGTGCCTAACCCGATGGGAAAGTATGTGATTAAGCTTGTGGTTGAGTGAACGATCTGCTTTTCAGTACCGGTAGGCTCTGTTGATGGGCCTCGATGTTCCTGACAAAAAGCAGCGCATTTTGTGAAGTTACCCCTAGATCCGCCTCTGCCCACTTAATGCCAAACGAATATTCGTGCTGCCAGAAGTCTTCAGCAGTCGCTGACTTTTGAATCCTGCCCCTCTCCCCGTGTCATGACGTCAGGCCGAGAGACAGAGATACAAGAGATACGCTAGTAGGTGTTTTGGTCTGAACGTAGTTTTTCATTTCGACACTGTGCCCTACGAACATGGGTGTGGAACGTGAACCACAGCATATAAGTGATTCTCTTTTGATCTTCATGAAGGCATCATCTCTTTTTAAAATAAGTTAATTAGAACCCCAGTGACTTGATATATTAATTTAGATCATTTGGATCCTACTTTTCAGTATTAGGAAGTGGTAACACGGTCATTATTAAAGGCAGTGGCTCTTCAATACCAGCAGTAAGTCTGAAATCAGACAGACTTTGCTTTCATTTTTTTTTTTTTTATTCACTAAGGACCAAATGCTAAAGACCATCACACATGAGTTCTCCCCTAGGTAGTAGGGTACGCCTGTCAGTGGTATTTTTAGCACATAGTAGGCCCTTAAATAATATTTTATTGACTCCTCATAGATTTCTCAGACTTAGAAGCCGGGTTTGGAATTTGCTACTGTAATTATCCGTTGAACTGAGCTCATTTTGAACCTCTTTTCCTCTGAATTTTAACGTGAAGCAGGTTACAGATGAATGAGGGCAGGAAAAAAATATATATATATCAATTGAACTTGGCTTGATTCCTTAATGCATTAACAGGTAGATAATGAAGACATCTATGAATCCAAACACGATATAAAGCTGCCAGTGAAGTGGACTGCGCCTGAAGCCATTCGTACTAATAAATTCAGCATTAAGTCCGATGTGTGGTCATTCGGAATCCTTCTTTATGAAATCATTACTTATGGCAAAGTGCCTTACAGTGGTGAGTAATTAATTCTGAAGTGGGCCTTTCTGCTGCAGGTCACTTACTTAGGTGTGACTTTAACTGCTTTGCCCAGACTTGGAGGGCAGAGTTATGGGGCTGACCACACACCACATGCCTGTGGGAGCCTAAGAGATAAAATCTGATGACGATGATTTGCATTAATGAGGTGGTTTATTGCCTCTTTCTCCTTTGCTCTGGAATTGCGGCCTTATAGACACCACTGGCTGCAAGATTTGGTTTAACCTCTGCAGCCTGGGAAGGGGATGGTCGACCTCCTAGCTTCACCAAGGAAATCCGTTTGCTTTGTAATCTTGAATATAGTCATCTATGAGTTGACGGCCCTGACCTTTAACTTGTTTTTTGTTGGTCCTATTCTATGATTATTTAGGCCTGACAGGTGCTCAGGTAATCCAGATGTTGGGTCAAAACTATAGACTCCCTCAACCTCCTAACTGTCCGTCCCAGTTCTACAACATCATGTGGGAGTGCTGGGATGCAGAGCCGAAGAACCGGCCCACGTTTGAGATCCTGCTTTGGAAATTTGAAGACTATTTTGAAGCAGACGTTTCATTTTTGGATTACAAATAACTTCGGAAAATGAACACCGAAGAAGAACATTTAATAATGAAGTAACAAAGGAGTGCAATAATCAGTCCCGAAGTGCAACCTGATCAATCAACTGCCAGGAGAGCTAACCTCGACACGCGCAAGGGATGGGGTCAACCGGGCCACGTACTATGAGAAAGATTCTATGTGCGCTTTATTGACTGGGCGACACCGCAGGGCAGTCTCCGATGGCATCAAAATCACACACATCAGCACAGCTCTTTTCCTTTTAAAAAAATACTTACATTTCTATTTATTGTTTGAAATACCGATCAAGAGGCTCAACAGATGATAGTCAATTTTTACTCAGTGACTGTTGTAGCATTTTCCTGTTTACTGATTAAAGTGGTTATTCATTATTCCTCGGGTTGCTGCATCCCATCAGCCTCTTATCATGAAGGAATCTGATTGCTCTGCTGCACAGCAGGACCTGTGCTTTGAGATTTTTTTTTCCCCTTTTAAAATATCCTGTGACTACAACGATGGTAAAGCCATGTTAAATGACTTGATTGTACTTGGAGTAATTGCACATATTTTTTCCCCTACGCATAGAAAAATGAAGCAGCTGTTGCGAAAAAGAATTAAAATTTCTCTCATTTTGCAGAAGGAAATGATGGGAGTTCTCTATACCTCAGTATGTGTGATCTGAGAATCATCCAAACATTAGTTTTAATCTCCTAATGTTAAGAATCGGATTGCAAGGCGGATGAGTTATTATCTATGGAAATATGTGAGTTATTATCTATGGAAATATGTGAGAAACATTTAATGGCCGGCAAAACCTGAGAAATAAGGATAAAATAGTTTGGGAAAAATGAAAGGCGAGCAGTAGGACTGCTGTGGCTCGGGTTTCTGAGACGATGGACCTTCGGCGAGTGGGACGGAGCTTTAAATGGATCACAGTCCAGGTCAAGCCCAGTTTTAGATCCAGAGGCTGGGAATAGAGTCCGACCCTGGTTATGGAGCCGTATTTTCTGTCTGGTAGGACAAGAGGGTTTTGCTCCTCTCAAGTGGGCACGGACCTTTGTAAGGTTGTTACTGTGTGGAGCTTTGTGCCCCATTAGACGCCGAGGACGGGTCCTGAAGATCAAGTGCTATTCAGAGGTCCGCGCTGTGGAGCCACATGCACCGAACAGGCCCCCAGGAAACCGGCTTTGGAGTCTGTTCCGTCACCTTTGGAACAGAAGGGCCCATGGGAACAGTGGCAGGGCCACGCTCAGGACGGGTGACACCTGGGCCCCCCTGCGCTCCCCGTGGCCTGGGGGACACAGGGCTCTGGGCAGCGGGCCGGTGGCCCTCGAGCGACACGGACGGCGCCACTGCCCTGCACCTGTCCCCCCCCCATGGCCGTCCCCGCTGTCACCGTGGGAAGCCTCTCCTGTCCTTGCAGGGGCACCACCGGTCTCGGGGCACCTGGGCGGTGCAGTGGGGCAGGCCTCCCCGACTCCTGCGTTCAGCCCCGTGGTGCTCTCGGGGTCGGGAGATCGAGCCCCGCACCGGGCTCTGGCCCGGGGAGTCGTCCCCTTCTGCTCCTCTCCCCTGTGCTTTCTTTCTCTCGAATAAATACATAAATAAATCTTTAGAGAAGGTCGTTGTTTTCCTCTTCAGGCAGAGGGGGTACGTGCCGGCGGGCGGTCGACTCAGCGGGACGTCGTGTGCCCATGGCCCGCGGTCGGCTGTGCGCTGAGGCTGGCGTGCGGCCTGCCTTCCTGGGGGGGGCTGGACAGGTGCACTCGGAGCACCGCCGTGGGCGTGTCACTCACACTTCTCTGGCTCCAGATGGGCCATATGGGCCCCTATTGATAATCGAGCCCCTTGACTAATTATATATATATATATATATATATATATGAAAGATTTGTAAGATAAAGTCAACACTAATCATATAAACCAGTCGACTGGGTGTAGGACAACCATGTTTATTTAAAGTCAGAGTCTAACTGTGAAAATTCACCTGCCGTGTAATCTGTCTTTTTGGAGCAGCTAATAATAATACATTTCTTAGTAGGATCTGATTTTGAAATGTATAGAGAAGGTGATCCTTTCTGGTTTTCATAACACCTGAAACCGCTTCAACTTACTATGTTTGGTTCTTGGAGACATTTATGTTCAAGGTTCTGTCAAAGCAATCTATTATTCTTGTTTTTTGCCTGATGGATCACGGAGAAAAATAATGGATTCAGTTATGAGAAGCAGTAATAGATTTTTTTTTAAGCTGACATAAATTTCTTTCCCTGTATAGAATAAAAGGATTGGGAAAAGATAAGTTGAATTTTCCTACAATGAGCCGGTTCTTGTTAGATTTACCTCCCATAAATTGCAGCAAAGCACTTTCTATGTAATGTTTTATTTATGTAATTCAGTTATTTGGAGGAGGTGGTGAGGGATGTGAGTACATCATTTCATGTGGTATTTCAAATCTCTTTTGACAAAAACCTAAGAATTTTTGCAATAGGAAAACTTCAAAATTCCATTAAGCCTCTTTTAAGAAGGTTAGGAAGGAAATAGGTTTACATTACCTAAGGTCAAAAGAGGCACAGAGTGGATTCCTAATGGCTGCGGAGCCTGAATATGGTATCATCAAGAACAGTAAAATCAAAGCGACCAACCATCTGCAAACGGGGCTGTGGGGCATGTGTGGGGGGACAGGGGGCTCTTAACGGACACCAGAGAGCAAGAGCAGGCAAGTATGAGGCGGGGCCCCTTGGCGACACCACTCACAACGCGTGTGACTACTTGGATCAACTGAACCGGAAGGGGTTCTTGATTCTCTTGATTCTCCCACTGCCCACGGGGAACCATTGCCCTTGGAAGGATGTCGTACGTCCCCCAGCTGGAGCTCCCTGAGGATGCAGCGCCCAGCTGGCGGCCCCTGGCTTTGCCCAGCAGAGGGTTTCCATAGTCTGGTTGAGCATATGGTTTCTGGACCAAAAAGCCTGTCTGATAGCGTGTCTGTGTGACTCTTTTCTTTTTTTTACTTCTTTTTTTATGTATTTTTTTTAATTGGAGTTCAATTTGCCAACATATAGCATAACACCCAGTGCTCATCCCATCAAGTGCCCCCCTCGTTGCCTTTTAAGGACTTTTTGCGACGATACACTATGTGAACTGGAATGGTGATGATATGGGGACTCACCTTGTGTGAGTGAGTTCTCCCACCGAAAATGCCCTCTCTCTCTCAAAAAAAAAAAAAAAAAAAAAAAAAAGTAAATGAGGTTAAAATACCTGGGTATTGGAGTTGCCCACGAGCTCATCTGGAAATGTTCAGTTTTCTGGTATTTCCTTGACATCATTATGGAGAAGTTTTGGTCTATAGTCTCCAACATGATCCAAAAATTTAATGTTGTAGTATTAAAAAAAAAAAAGCTGGGTAGTTTGGTGGAGAAAGAATACTTTTAAGTCTTTTAAATCCATGGCTCCAGTAATATTTTAATTTTCATAGTGTCATCTTTTTACTGCCTACACTACATCATTAAACTCCTTCAGATTTTTCCTTTTTTATATGAGGGAAGTGATGGTAAATCTCTTAAATTATTTATTACATTTAGACATAAACTAGAGAATAAAAATAGCATGCAAACCCTGGATTTCGGAGCCTGTACAAGTTTAGCTGCGATCTGCACTTGGATGGCACATCTACCTAGGAGTTATAAGGTTCAGTTAGAAGGCAAGAAACACCCAATTATTTCCATTTACTCTCCTTGCCTGAGTAGTTTATCCATTAGTCATCCGAAGTAACAGACCTCAATATAACATCTTTTTCATCCTCGTGGAATATAATCAGCTCTTCCAGAAAAGGGTAACAAATCTCAAATCTGCGTTAAGTATCTAGTTATGTATATTTCTGTGCAGGGGATTCAAGTCATATAACATAATAACCCTGAAATTGTATGTTAGGGGAAAATGGGTTGAAAGCAACTAAAATTGCTAGGTTTGGAAGAAGCCAAACATTGTGTCGTAGTAATCCTCTGGGATTTTAGAATAGAGGTTTGATTGTACCATATGTGATGGATAAGGTTGCTTGATATTAACCAAATAGCATTTATATTTTAGGGTCCACACAATTTCAGGGTAAAGGATATTATAGCTCTTAATAATTTTTCAAAATAAGCATTTAATTATGATTCAGAAAGTGGGAAACAGCCGATTAGCCAGATTCTATACTTTATAATTTTTTTAAAATTTTTTTAAATTTTTTTTTATTTATTTATGATAGGCACACAGTGAGAGAGAGAGAGAGAGGCAGAGACACAGGCAGAGGGAGAAGCAGGCTCCATGCACCGAGAGCCCGACATGGGATTCGATCCCGGGTCTCCAGGATCGCGCCCTGGGCCAAAGGCAGGCGCTAAACCGCTGTGCCACCCAGGGATCCCCTGGATTCTATACTTTAAAGTTGCCACAATGAGATGTTTGTATCTAAAACAACGAGTATTTCTATGTTATATGCTTTAATAATACTTAATATTGTCCAATTACATGTGAATGTATTTACCTGTGATTAATACATATGCATCAAAAAGGATAAAAACGGCTTCTTTTAGGGGCGCCTGGCTGGCTCAGTTGGTAGAGCATGAGACTCTATTTCAGGGTCGTGAGTTCAAGCCCCACATTGGGTGTGGAGCCCACTTAGAAAAGAAAAGAAAAAGAGAAGACGTCTTTTAATTGTACCACTTGTTATAACGCTATCACTTATCTTGGTTTAAATGCAGCTCATATTTTAAAAATTTCTGTTTCCGGGTTCTTTAAAATACTAAGGCAAAGGCTTTTCTTGAGAATACATTTTACCCGAAGGGTTCTATCACTATTTACGCAGGATATTTTCATTATGCTAGTGGTATCAAACTGATTATTTTTAACTTGCCTTTTAAAAGTTGACTTCACTGTTTCAGAGATCAAGTTGGTTGTGTGCCCATGACGTAAATTTGATGTATTTTGTAGTATTTAAAACATTTCCTCGATTGACCACGCTAAAAGGGCTTTCA